GCCGGCTGGGCTTAAACCACGACAATATGCTTTCTCTTTTAGGTAGCAAGTTATTTCCTTATACGTATATAGTAAGATTTCATCTTAGATTTTAATATTTCCAAAACCTAGGAACTTACATGGCCTTCAAAATGTACACTTTTATTTCTAATACCAATGCACACGCAGTAAACCCCCACTTTTCACAACCTTCTCGTGCCCTCCTGCCTGCGCTTTGCAAAACTGATAAAGGTATCAGTGTATCAGCAATGCTGCTTGACTTCAGTTGTGCTTTTCGTTTTCCTTCTTTTAATGCCTAAATTTATAAAAATGCTTCTTCTGTTTTTATAAAATTGATGATGTTCACATACGCAATCTGGTAGTAGTATAGCCCCGTCATTGTAGATGATGCATTTTGACTTCTATGTAAGCAGTTTCAAACTTGATTTTGTGGCCAGAAAGTTTCAGGTTACTTTCAGAGAGTCCTGGTTTAACAAGCCATACAAAATAGTAATATATAAAAAAAGGTTTCTAATACTGGAAAATGCTTTTATCTCCTGTGCATCTTAGGTCTTTGACTATGACTTTGGACTTCAAGATGACTTTATTGGTTCGGCATTTTTGGATCTCACATCATTGGAATTAAACAGGTATAACACAAACAAGCCTATGGAGTAATTCTTCATGGTTATCTCCTGATATCACATTTGTGGAACAGCAAATAGAACAGTATGCTGGAAAATAATTATATAAACCTACACCACATAAAACTATCTGAGGAAAAACACTTATGTTTAGGGAATTACTGTAATATGGAAGTTAATATATTAACTGATCATGAACAATATTTTTTACAGTGTCTACAGAGACGTTAGTTTTACAACCAACCTCTTTAACCTTGTATTTATATTTCCTGAATTCACAGCATTACCACCTACTGCTGAACTTTTTTCCCCCATCTGTTAATGTTACAGTTCAGATTTAATTTCTTTTAAGTACTTTTTAAGTACTGAAGTATTTTTAAGTACTGAAGTACTTTTTAAGTACTGAAGTATTTAACACAGGGTACCAGTTGTTAGTATTTGTGAGTGTTCAGGCTGCAATACTTGAAAGTAGAAATAGGGTAAATTTGTGACATTTTCGAGTAGTTTCATATAAATGTTGATGCCCTTAATTCCCATGATTCAGAAATTTCATTCTCTGAGAGCTTGTAATCAAAAGAAATGCATGTATTTTTGTTTTGTAGGCAAACAGATGTTACCTTGAGTCTGAAGGATCCTCATTACCCTGACCATGATCTGGGAAGCATATTATTATCAGTTCTGTTGACTCCTAGAGAAGAACAGCGGGAAGTGGTAATTTTAAATGTTTTAATATGTGTGACCTCTCTTGTTATGTGGTTGGGTGACTTAAAGCACGATAGTAAACAACATATTCTGGGATTAATTTGATTTTTCCAATTCCTAAAATAACATTGAAGAGTGTTTCTGGTGTAGTACCTTGTATACTTCATCTGATTTGGATCTTTCCTGAGATAGAACTGAGGGATCCAGATTGGAATGTAAATGTTCAGCAGTTTCAGTTAAAGTTAACTGCAAGTGAATGGTGCTGATTAATACAGAAAAATATCAGTAAACCACTGGTGAAGAATTTTGGACCTAGTGTTGCCATCTCTAGATAAGAACATTTGAATCCTATTCCACGCTGTAAACAAAGAAACATGAAGAAAGGTAGAATTTCTGCTTTTTGGCATCTAATGATGGACTATTATTTGATGTTTTTCAATTTCATGACCAGAATTCAATTATAAAATCATGTGGGTTTTTAGGTTTATTGTAATTCCTTCATCAATCTTAGTTTTCTGATCTGCTTAGTTAAAGTGAAAGTTGTTTCCAGTTCTACAGATCCTGTTAATTCTGACGAATTCTGTCTCTAGTTGGATGTATTTTACTAGTTTTTTTGTCAGTTGGCTTTTGACTAGAGCAGTACTGCTACAACTATGGCAGAAATTCAAGAGATGACATCTCTCTCTGAGCTTGTAAAATAACGTAGATTCCTTTGGCTTCAGGGAGGCCAAGAAGAAAGTACTAATATGATGACATTTTCCATGGATATGGTCAATTATATGGTTTTTGTAAGAGGATATATGTTTCTGTATGCTGCAGTGTGACAAATCATCCTGTTGTATACCTGAGGAATATTCCCAGGTTTTAATATTCTTCATTTTTCTAGCTGATATTAAATAGCCTGGTAAGTTAGTTATTGGAACTAAGTGTTTGGTATTTGATGTGACAGAGATGCAGAGTTTTGAAAACGTGTTTCTCATCTCTTCGTGACATTCGATTAGAACTTAACAGAAAGAGTGGAACATAGAAGCAATGTGAAGCAGTTTAATTAAACAGTACATTTTTCTTTCTTTTAGCAATACATTTATCCAGACAGTTCTGACTACTATCTTGGTGAATTTGTACCACAAAAGTGTTTATCATCTGAATTGAAATTTGTGTTTAATTTCAGAGGAGTTTGTGTCTTTGGGTAAGACCAGCATTTCTGTGTCAGCTGGTAATAGCTCTGTTTTCCAATTGGCTTTGGCACTATTCTGCCATAATCCTAAGTCAGCACAGCATGGAAATACTGTATTTTTATGTGGAAATCAATTATGTGAACAGCAGATTAGTTTCCTTTTTTCGTCATTCAGCTAGGATAGCCACCGTGATGCTCAGTTTTACTGGCTATTATGTCAAGAACACTCAAGAAAGTCACAGGTGAAAAGGTGTAATTAAACCACTATAGCATAACATCTTTCACATGTGTGAAATTCACTTGGTGAATTTGACACAGAATATCAGAAGTAATGGCATCGCCACAGACTTGCTGCTTAGGAACTTTTTTCATACCCAGCTGACTGCTTGCAATAGGAGGAAGAATTTGGTTTGTGCTATTACGCTTTTTATTATTTGCTTTCTCTAATGGTTGGATTCAATGATCCGATGGTTGGACTTGATGATCTTAAAGGTCTTTTCCAACCTAAATGATTTTATGATTCTGTTTAGTAAGCAAATCCTCTTAGTTTAGCCCAAGTGCCTAATTTTAATTCGCATTCAAACTGTTATTTATGGAACTTCATTCTTAAAATGCCCAGAATTCAGAGCAGGCTTCAGATTCTTAATCTGAAGGTTTATATTTACTATTTTAGTATATTTAATATATTTAGTATATTTAGTCCCCAGGGTACGGATTTCAGAGCGGTTATGACAAAGTTGAAATAAAAATAGAAAATTTGTGTAACAGGGGAGATGACCTACAAAATCAATACTGAATTGCTGTATATAAGTGTGTTAGAAGTTTAATAATTCAAGGCACTGTTGTCTTTTATTCAGTTGCCACATGTACGTATTTATTTATTTATTAGATTTTATTTACTCCCTAAGGAGTAGATACATTGCAAAATGTATCGCCCCAATTGTCATCCTTGGTTATTTTTAAAAGGCCTTGTAATAATGAGGATAACTTTTATTGAATTTAATATGGCTGAGATCAATATTTTTTCAAATGTTACGTTAAAGGATTGAGGCTAGTTCTTGTCCACTGTGAAAATGTGCAGTGTATAAAGTACTAATTAAAGAAACTCCTGATCTGTATAGCGTGCTTTTTGCATAATTACTACTTCCCTTCTACTTGGATATCTCTATGCAGATAATAATTCAAACAGTATGTTTGAAATATATGGATAAAAATATGTAGGCACCTCTAAATATGCTTTAATGACTGCCCCACAGGAGATGCAGAAACACTCTCTTCACATCATGTGCCTTGTTTTTTTTCTTAAGTCATTGCAAATTTATTTTAATCCTGTTGATTTGATATCTCTATGTAGCCTCCACTTCAAAAATGTATTTTATTCTGAGTAAGTTTTAATTTGTTCAGGTGATAACTCAGATGATTTGCTTGCACATATTGTCACAAGTAAATTGTGTAAAATGGCTACATTTTCAAGCTGAAGAATTCAAAAATTAACCCCTACTGCTTAAATTTCAGGTACTTTGATTCCATATATATTTAAAATGAGAGTGTTTATTCAGACCACTGGGGAAATGAAAAGAGGATTAGCATTCCCATGTAGCCATGTGTTGTGTCTGATCCTGCATTTTGGGCAGCAAAGCATTTTACTGGAATATCAAGATAATGCAGGGTTGTTTTGTAGGAAGATGCATCTGTATAAGATCACACTGTATAAGAAATACTGTCACTGCTGGAGGATAAGATACTGCAGCTGGAAGTTTGAAGTTAAATGGTACAAAATATGGGGACTTGTTATATATTGCCATCTGTCTGTGAGAGAGGTATTATTGCAAATTATTTAAAACAAGCACTCAGACAGAGGAATACTTCTTTTTTGTTTGGGTGAAACTATCTTTTGTGAAGCCTTGTGGTGTGTGAAGAGATGAGAGAGAGATTCGGTACACACAGGAACATTCTCTTCCATATCTTTCTGAAAGAAATTCTGATGAAATGCAGATTTTCTGTGTGCTGACTGATGACATGTTCTTTAGAATTTATAGCTGGAAGGTCAGTTTTGCTAGGATCAAACCTGATTACATCTTTGGATTCAGATATCAAGTAGGAATATTAACATACGCGTATGTTCGTGTAAATGAATAGGAGAGGGGGGAGTTTGCCCTTGAGTCACGGAGGATTTATTTACTCTGGAGTGAAAAATAGTGCTCAAGTAGTTTACTATTTGCATTTTTCCAGTGGAAGAATGTTAGATGTGGTTTCAGGTAAAGAAGATGCAGTATACTAGTTTCATAAATAAGAACACACTCTTTGATTTTTGTAGTATGTTTTATTAGAAGAAAATGCTACTGCCTGCAGTTATCATTGATTATTAATTTAAGAGTATGGACAGGTGGGAAAACTTTCTAGCAAATATTCTATGCCATTATCTTTGCCTTTTGTGACATGCTTGTTGTAAAGGCATAGGAATGTGAACTTTTAAAGTAATAATCTTGCAATATCTCATTTGAACTATATACATGAATGGAAGTCCTATTCTTTTGAGTTTTGATAAAGGCAATCTGATTTGTTACTATTTTCAATCATAAATTGTGAATCAAAATTGATGAATTATTCTTACAATTATTCTTAAAAATAAGAATGTCTTCAGTATTAGCAAGAAGTATAATCTATTTCCAGCCTAACACAATTAATTGCAGTAGCACTAGTTCCAATAATTCATGCATTTTGCTCTGTGCTGTCAGCAATACTTGTCCATTACATTAATTATTTAGCATTTTTATTAGCATTATTTATCATTTTCTCTGACAGAAAAGGTAGCTTAGGTAACTAGTGTAAACTAAGAAGACATTAAATAAACAGGTATGGGAAAAAGTATGTGTTTAGAAAAACTTTAACACCTGTGAGCTCCAAAAAAACATGTGTTATCCTTAACTGTTCTTTTAAGAAGTAATGTGTTTGTGGTGTGATTTCTGTATTTTTCATTAATTTCTGCTTTTGATGCCCAGTTTGAAAGAAGTCAAACCTAGCAATGACTTGATTTTTTTGCTTAGACCTGCTCCAATGAAGCTCACTTTATTTCTTTAATTCCAGCAGTATACATTAATTTTTCCCTTTGGATGCATGTAGCACTGTGCATGCCGCTGTGCTGTTTGTAGCTATGTGCATGCCAGTCACACCGTGCGTGTAAAGTCTGCATGTGCTGTGTTTGGCATTGTTTTCATGGGTGCCACAGTGCATGTCAGTCTCTTTCTCTGGCAAAACTCAGCATGCAGATTTCATCACTGCAGCATGACCATGTTGCATGTCTCCTGTGTCTTCTCTGCAACAGTTGTTTCCAGCCATGGTCTTGCAGGCAACTCTTGGCTACAACAAATAATAACTGCCAGCAGAGGTTGGCGGCTACCATTCCACCACTGCCAACGGCCTGAGTAGTGTAGAAAGTGGGAAAAACCAAACATGAGTGCTACTTGGGTGTTGCTATTCAATGAGAGTAAAGGTCAGAGCATTGTTTTTTCCTTAAATAATTTATCCCAAGTGAAGCTTAGTATTTCTTTTCTTCATGTAAAGATATTAGAAGCATTAATATGCTGTCAGTTTGCTTGCTGTCTCAGATCTTACAATGGTTCTTTTTTCTGTTTGTGGTTGGTGTTTTTGGTTTTTTTTTGGTTTTTTTGTTTGTTTGTTTGTTTTTTGGGTTTTTTTTAAATTTGTAGAGGGATAGTATCATCATAGGAAAAAAAAAAAGAATGGAAGGAGATCAACTCAAGGCATGGAATATTTTCAGATTAACAAGCTCCATGTAGATCATCCTTCCTAATCTGCTGTATGATATGTACTTGTTTTACTGGCTTCTAAGGATGGTTATGTTGGCTTCAGCTTATCTGGCTGCAGCTGTTGATGGTGCTGATGCACTCAGCAAGTTTGGTCATACGTTCCATACCTATGACTCAAACTGAACTCCTCAGAGTGGAAATGATAGTCGATATGCAGTTAATTCATCTGTGAGGCTGTATTCTTCTCCTTGCTCAAAGCCTGGTCCAAAGCCCAGTTGAGTTTCTGCTCTGACTTAAAGCTGTGCAGGATTCACAGGACCCAGAACTTGGAGGTTTTCTCTTAGCACCAGCTGTGGGCTTCAAGCTGCTCAATTCTTACATGCCTCTCCTGTAAAAATGAGTTAAATGGCTTTCTCCAGCCTTATAAAACGTTTAGTATCTATGGATATTTTTCAAAGCCACAGTGCTACAATTGTCATTAACTTATGGCAGAGCCTTTAGGCTTTAACTCTCTATAGCAACTTAAACTTTCCTAAGCAGCTGTTTGATTTTCTTCTCCCTCAAAAGTGTGCCAATTTGAAGAATTTCCGGATATTTTAAAACTATAAAACACTCTTATTTTCTCCCATTTTCAAATTTTACCTGTGAAATACTTTTATTTTTTAGCAAGAAAAATGTCTGCATTTCAGGATTTGTTTCCATTATCAGAAAAAGAAAGTGGCTTTGCAGTAATAAATAAAAATTATGTTTGTTTTTCATGGCAAACTTTCAGTAGAAATTAGTGGTCTTTGATGTATCAACAACAGGCTGCTAAATGTGATTTAATAGTATAAATTTAATTTACCTGTGTTTCCACAGAACTGCTTTAAGCAACAGTTGTGTTCACAAATAAATTGTCCATCTCCATCTTGACCAGTATTTCTCTTTTATTTAATGGTTAAGAATCTGTGTCTGTGGACACTTTGCCTCCCAGCATGTCAGAACATTGTCTCTAGCATTCCCAAGATTTCACAGGGTATTTAGGTAATGAGATATGGCTACCTCATTGTGGGTTTTTTAAAGACTCAAGGTATGAGGCTTTTTCTGTCCCATGTGCATAATTATCAAACCAAAGAGCTATTTTTACTGCTGTGAAACTAATTAACACTGGTAACCTTAAGGATTTTTTAATAGATGCATGTTGTCCAAAGAGCCTTACGCAGTATTTCTGTTAGGTATCTACACCTGTGAGCTAAAAAGTAGTGTTCCACAAACCTGGAGTACATTAATACTAAATACCTGCCATTCAAGTATCATTTAAAATTGAAGTCACTGAGTAATGGCACATTCATTTTTTTCTTTTACTAATCTTAATTCTTTCTTTCTTTCTTTCTTTTATTTATTTTTTTTAATTTAAATGATTTCATCTAATGTGTTGTCTCCGGAAGCAGTATGCCCGGGTCTGTACAGTGCTGGGAGTTGTCCGGATTTATTTCAGTCTTGTGTAGTTGTTGCTGGAGTGTACATGTGGCTGCTTCAGTTGTAGTTGTGGTTAATTGTGGATTGTCCCATTAGAGACAGTTGGCCTCCTTTTCTGTATTGCAGAGAAAAGGTAATTAAAATGCTCTATTTTGTTTTCAGACAATGCTAATGAGGAAGAGTTGGAAAAGATCAAGTAAGGTAACTTTTAGCATGTGGTCTTCTGGCTTTGTTTTTTCTTTAGAAGAACTACGGTGTTCTACCAAACATGCCATCTACGACTTGAAACTTGTGGCGCAGGGTTTATTCACCTTCAAATTGTGTTTTAATGACATTGTTTTGTGTTTCATCAAACCAAAATCGTGAAACAGTTGAGCTTTTACTGTAATCATTAAACCTCTCAACTTTGTTACAGCATTTTAGCTTATTTTGAAGTCATCTAGTAACTTCATATAAGTGGTAAACACATCCTTCTGCTTTGTCTAAAACCTTTAATTTCTCTTGTATAATCAATTTTCTCAAAGCTTACTTGTTGATGTTAACAGAAAAAATTCATGCCGAAAGCTAACTTTCATTTTCCTATTACTTTCTCTTCCTACTGCTTAGAGTTTTTGTGTGTGGAAGTTTTCAGTGGTGCTTCTCAAAGACTTATTTCCCTGACTGAGAGATGATGATCATAGCTGGGCTTTCCAAGAGAGGAAGATTTAAAGAATCCTTTTCAGCCTCCACTTTATACAGCTCTTTAGATTCCTCTTCAGGCAAATTCAGTATCCGGCTTTTCTCCTATTAGGAGTCATGGAAGTGGTAAAAAAGGAGCAGCGTATGCTCCTTGTCATTAGGGAAAGGCTGAGAGTTTGACTCCCAGTGGAATACAATCCGTTCGTACCTTTTTCCAGTATTTGTATCCAAGAAGATAAAGAAAATGTGTATAGCTATACTAATAATATATTAATATATAATAATAATACTGAGATGCTGCTTTCAAGTTTTAAGCCTTCTTCTTGCATAATTACAAGCAGAATTAAAATTTTTCAGTCTTGAGCTGGTGTGGTAGGTCTGGGGTTTTTTGAGATGTTACCCTGTAAAGGTTAAAAAGGTTAAAGGTTTCTCATGTTAAAACAGGAAAAATGAAATAGCTATGGCGGGTGATTTCACTGATTTTGTAAAGTGTTTTGCTTCTCTAACATACTGATGCACATATTTAAATAGAAGGTTACTAAATAAACAGCGTTGTGTATAGTGCTCTGTGACTAATATTTTTACAGTATTTTTAACCTTTTTAAGAAAAAGAGAGCAGGGTTCATAATTTTGGGGTTATGGATGGGTTTTCCACACAGTCTGCTTCTTCAAGTCAGGACAGTACTCAGTCTCTGTTTCCTTTTCAAAACCTGTGAAGCAAAGGTACTTGGTGAAGTGATGATGTGCATGTTTTAATTCTCATACAGTTCATGTAACTTTTCCTGAAATATCTGAGATGCTTTAACTTCTAAAGAGTTAATGAAGGGCTGTGAGGATCGTGGACGACAGAGCTGTTTAGCATCATGGAAGTGATGCATTGACTCCTGATGTGCTGAATGTGCTGGGTGACAGTTTGTAAAACTAGTTTATTCAGAACTTTCCCATGCTTTAAATTCCAACTGAGAAAACTATGAGCTTCAATAATCATGAATGGATGGCACAACATGACAGTGGGGAATTCTTCAGAGCTGCTCAAGTGAATTATTTATCCATGTTCTCCTTTGTTACATTCATTTGATAACATTTCACTCAGTAGTTACCATTTTTACAAAGGGGGTATCAAAAGATCTGGCAAATAGCAAATGTGTGAATTTGAATATTTCATTCCTCTACATTTGTCTCAGCTGAAATAGTAATTAGACATGTAATGCACATACAACATCTTACATGCAGTGCAAGTATCCTAAAGGTCTTTTGTAACCTAAACGTAGTATCTCAGTTAAAGCACAGGAGCTCATTTGCCTTGTGGGGCTATTTCAGAGTTCCAAATCTTTGGTCTACTTTCAGGAAAAGAAACTAAAAAATACTTTATTTACAAAGAATACCTCCCCTCAAAAAAAAAAAAAAAGTGCTGTTCTCTGGGGTGTAGTATGGTCAATATTAAAAAAAGTATAATTTGTGAATTAAAAGGAAAGTCTAGAAATACATGCTTGATGCTATTAGATAATGGAGAAAGTGCCCTGTTTGAAAGTCATCTTCTTCAGGAAGAGTTTGCTTGCACCCCTGAAAGCTTAGAAAAAACACAATATTAAAATTTTTTAAAGATATGATTATAAAATTTCCTAAACCTATTTTTTTAGATCTCCAGAGTCTTTACAATGGCACTTCTAATAAATTAATTTGATTTTACAGATTATGTCACCGTATTTTACTTTTTAAAGTCTATATTCATGAAGCTACTTATTCTGTAACAAATGTAGACTGAAGTTAAGGTGCAGCAGTGCAGGTGACTGTGGCATTGTGTGTGTTCATAAACTGCGCTGCTTGCACATAGTTCCTTGGAGATGTGTAGTAAGCTGCGGAAATAATGGTAACTGATCTTTTCTATTACAATATTAAGGTATTCATGTACTTGCAAACAATCACTTTGGCCAAATTGAGTCTCTACTTCACATATCACCCCCCCCTCCTGTGCACCTTAAAATGGAGTTAAGATCTCATTAAATACCTAGGTCAATGCAACTGTGAATTTTACCTATTTTGCATGTAAACCAGTATTTTCAAACCCACTAGTGTTGTAAACATTTGTTAGTGGCACTGCAAAAATGCAACACCACTTTTGCTTTTGTTGCTAGGGTTTTTTCTTCTGATGCTATTTCCTGTCATGTTTGCCTTACATCACACATACTCTCCATCAAAGTTCATGGAAGCCATATCACTCCCCACACTGTCTGGGTCAGAGGGAATACTCATCTTTCACTGAATCCAGCAAACATTAAATTCAAACAATTTTGAAGTCAGAGCATTTATGACCTCATAGTATGAAAAGTCAACTCAGACTTCCTGTCTTCAGCAATAGGAGACTCCCAGTGGGCTATTGAAAAAACAACCAAACCAACAAAACAATCTAAGCTGTTAATATACAAAAACCCCAAAACTTCTTTTGGGAAGATACAGTTTGCATTCAGTTTCATATTGATTGTTTTATTTCATCCGCCACAAGCTTGGTGTTGCAGCAAGGCAAACTGGTGGCTGGTGGTTACGACTTAGCGGTCTGTTTGCTGCATGGTCTGGGAGAGGAGGCAGCTCACAGACCACCATGTCTGTACCAAGATCCATTACACCTCAGGAGAACGCAGAAGTGTGTTATTCAATGTTTTGTGGACTTTTTTATGACCCAGGTGTTTGCTCAATTACCTTAATGTGCCTCTACCTCAGTTACTGTGGCTTAGAGTTCATTTTGTTAGATATTTGCCGGGTTAGCAGACAAGGACTACAGCAAAAAGACAGTGCTTGTAGGATCCGAATAGTCAGTCAGTCATTTAAAACAAAGAGGACTTTTTAATTTCATTTTTCTTTTTAAAAAGTTACTGGAAAGTCTTTGACCTGCGCAAAATGGCTTTCCTTTCCATGTATGGATCTTCTGTGGTTCCCCACATCCACCACCGATTTCCCTTAGGATGGATTTTCCTTTTTGCATTAGTTCCTGTGATGAAGGTTCAGGCTTTCCTGATGGTTCTTAATTCTTTGAGTTGAGGGAAAAAACCTTCCTGCTTCTCTCTTGCTTTCTAAACTGTCTGCATACCAGATGCAATTTGGTATACAGTTGTTGCAGTCTGGGTATAAAAGGAGCGCAGAAGAGCCCAAGCTTCCAAGAGAGGTAATGTATTACTAATAGTCAACATCACCTCTGACAGTGAGATGAATAGTGCTAATTGCTGGAGTGATTTCCATTACAGATCCTTGAGGTGCAAGCTATCCTCTTGCACCTCAAGGTGATGAGAAATAAAGAATCACCATTTCCATCTTGAGCCAGTGTGGACTCATTGGGAAGAGTTGTTTTGTCCTTTTTCCTCTGATTATGAAAACAAGAAAGTAAATAAATTCTGACTTCTTATTTGGTAATTCTCTGAAGCACAGAGGCTTAATCAATAGCTGAGGAAAGGTTATGGGAATGGAGCCTATTAAAATGTTGGCAGCATAAAAGTGAGTTAGAAATGCACATATTGCACTTTCTCCTTGTAATTATTGGAATGTTCAGTGCAATGCTGTCAAAAATAATAGTGAAAAAAAAGCTTAAAATTTTCTTTACTGTTTTTAAGCCTAAAGCTGGTAACAGAGGGAAGAGACTGTTTAAAAGCCCTATTTTTTCTCATGTAAAAATGATGTTCCCTTTAAGTACTTCCTCCTCAGTTTTTCTCTTAGCTTCTAATGGTGAAATTTCATTACTTTTCCAATGCCTTTACTGCCAACACTTTTAAAAGATAAAAAACTCACTGCTTCTAGCACTTTTTAATGTGAAGTGCTGTTAAACTTTAAAATCAAAACCATAAATCCTGAATTTGAGCACAGTGAAGCTGCAGTTATAATTCAGCACTGACAGATGTATTTTCCAGCCCAAATCAAAATTTTTGCTTGATTATAGCTTGAAATTAGGAAGGGGAAGAGCCTACATGCTTTTTAAAACAAACAAACAAACAAACCAAAACACAGCTTGTATTTTTTTAGAGTTGTCAAGTAATTTTACCTACATTTGACATTGTTTGCATTAACTTAAGCGGAAGCTCTTCTTCACATGCTCTCTCTCTGAGAACATTTCATTTTATATAGAGCAGGCAGACTCCTCTCTGAGAAACCTGAAAATACTAAATATTTTATGAAAATTCACCTGTTCTGCCTGCTGTTGTACAATTTGCTGTATGATTACAGGAGGTTAATTCTGAAAAGGGTAAGGAATAGTGGCTTCAGGTGGTGCTATTTACTTTCTGGTAGGGTAGTGCACACAGAGCTTGCTTCGGAAGTTTTCTCTCTGCTGTGCTGAGTGGGAGAAATGGAGGCAAAAAATGAGACAAGGATCTTCGGAAGGTAACAGGAATGTCTCTGGAAGACAACGTCAATGACAAGGCAGGTAGTGTTGCTGGACAGACCAATCCTCACTTGTCGCAATTTCAAGTGTCTGGGCTATTTAAACATCTACCTGAGTGCAGGGTAGATATGAAAAAGACAGAAAATAGGATTAACA